CGCAGTCCCCGGGGAGCCGCCACCGCCGAGGCGGCCGGACTCCGGGCGGGAGGACACTCCGGTCCCTGAGATGGAGAGTGTGGGGGCGGGAACCGTGACCGCAGGCCTCCCGGGAGGCGGACGCAAACAGGGAAGCCCTTCCCGTCCGGTCTGCCCGCAGTTAAATGCGCACCCCAAAGACAACAGGGATTCCGGGGGCGGAAGACCAGCTCTAGCTCTGAATCCAGGGGAAGTGTTGTTTTTCTGAATTTAAACAGAAAGCAGCCTGGCCGGCGTGGCTCGGTGGTTGAGCGTGGACCTATGAACCAGGAGGTCAGGTTGGATTCCGGTCAGGCCACATGCCTGGGTTGCAGGCTCGATCCCCAGTGCAGGGGACAGCCGATCAATGATTCTCTTTCATCATTGATGTTTCTCCTTCTCCCTTCCTCTCTGAAATCAATAAAAATACATTTGAAAAAATAAAAACAAAGCAGATGTGTATGTGGAAGGAGGGTGCTGATGACACCTGGAGGGAAGAGGGCAGGTCAAGGTCTCTAGGAACCCAAAGAGCCTCAGAAAGTCGGGGTCAAGGTATTTGAATGGGCGGGGGGGGGAAGTAGAGGTGAGGTTGTGACTCTCTTGGGCTTCATCCCTCTGTAACCACCCCATCACCACCACCACCACCACACATATTTAAAATATATATACATATTTAATTGGTTTCAGAGAGGAAGGGAGAGGGAGAGGGAGAGAAACATCAATGATGAGAGAATCATTGATGGCTGCCTCCTGCACGCCCCCTACTAGGGATCGAGCCCACAACCTGGGCATGTGCCTTGACTGGAATCGAACCCGGGACCTTTCAGCCCGCAGGCCTATGTTCTATCTACTGAGCCAAACCAGCTAGGGCTATAAAAATCTTCTTAAGGAACCCTGCAGTGAACCAGGATTCCCTTGTCTCTCTGCTCTAGGTCTGAGCTCCCCATCCCAAGTGCCTAGGGCTGGGTAGGGGACCCACTCCCACCACCTATCCATAGAGTTGTCGGTTAAGGGGCAGGAGTGATGAGCCTGTCTGAGGCCTCCTGCAGGGTAGGAAGGCCCAGCCAAGCAGGCTCATATGGTTCTGTGTCTGAATGCCTATTTTGCCACTCCCTGGTGAGGTACCTTCCCCAGGCTTTTTGTATCTCGCTTTCTTCAACTGTAAAATAGGGCTAATGTTAATGATATCTACATAAAGGATTGTCGTGAAGACTGAAACTTACATGGACTGCCATCTGCAAAGTCCCAAAGCACAGTGCCTGCCTTACAGTTGGCATTTAATAAACAGTGGCTATTGTTCTCAGGGGCTTTTGGCCCACAGGGTCACCCACAGTCCACCCACCCACCCTCGGACTCTGAGCAAGCCCCAGTGACCCTTTTCTGACCAGTGGTACAGCGAGGGAGAAACATTTCAATTCTAACACAGGGGACATTGTCCTGCGCAGCTAATCCGAATCCTTGCTGCAGTAGAACGTCATTTCCTAGAGCAGAATTTTGAACTGTGTCTGTGCACAAGACTCACCCCTGGAGCTCTGAAAAAGAAAGGTTTTACCCTAAGCCTCGACCAACCGAGTCATAATCTTCCTGAGCTTGTGAGTGCCAGCGCTGAGCAGGCGCCTCGTCCTAGTATCCCTGCTCTGTCCCTGGAGAGCTGCCCAGAACCCACGAGCACATCCTCCTTCTCAGGCAGGGCAAGCTGGTTGGTTCCCCTGTGATTCTAATGTGCAAGCTGACCTAAGGAATCTACGGTCCTCGCTGAAGCTGAGCTCTGGAAATCCTTACGGTACACACTTTTTGTTTTGTGTACCCAACATCAATTCCCCTTTTCCTAACTACTCCCCAGCCAGCGAGTTCCTTTGGGGAACCACCCCAATCCCTGTGGTTGGGGGAAGATAACCCCATCCTACATCTCGAAGGGGGTATGTCACCCACGCCTGGCCATCCATCTAGGGATGCTCCAGTCTGGGCGCATTCCTTCTTCCTAGTCATGAAGATCGAATCTGGACCGGCACATGACTCAAACCAGGCCAATGAGAATCACTCTGGGACTCTTAAAAAAGGAATTCTCTTCCCCGGAAGGTACTCAGCCAATGGAATGTGAGCCTGGAGGTCATCTTGCCATCAGGACTGGAAAACCTACCTGAGAAGGAAACCAACGCAGAGGAAGTCAGAGAGAAAATATCCACCTACAGAAAGTCTCTGGATAAAGTCTGGGAGTTCTAGTTATGCAGACTAAATTCCTCTTTTATTTAATAAAATAAAACAGGCGCATTTCAATTTCTGTTTGAACCCAGGAGGTTCTGATTAATTCACCCATTATCCACAACAAAAATCTTTTCTGAGGACTAACTGTGGGCAGGACTTGGGCTAAGGCCTATGGCATAGGACCTTGTCTCTAAGGAACTTACAGTTGGTAGAAGAAGTCTGGGTTCTATGTTACACAAGAATTAAGAATAGGTGGCCTAGCCGGTGTGCTCAGTGGATAGAGCAACGGCCCACGCACCAAAGGGTCTCGGATTCGATTCCTGGTCAAGGGAACATACATACCTGGTTTGCAGGTTCAGTATCTGGCCTGGTTGGGAGGCGTGCCAGAGACAACCAACCGATGTGTCTCTTTCACATTGATGTTTCTCTCTCTCTCTCTTCCTCCCTTCCACTCCCTCTAAAAATAAATGGAAAAAATATCCTTGGGTAAAGACTAACAAAACAAACAAACAAAAAAATAATTAAGAATAGGAAGCAAGTCCTGGCTGACTAGCACAGTTGGTTACAGAGTTATCTTGATACACCAAGGTTTTGGGTTTGATCTCCAGTCAGGGCACATACAAGAATCAATTAATGAATGCATAAATAAGTGGAACAACAAATTGATCTCTCAAATCAATCAATCAATCAGTCAATCAAAAAGTAGAAAGCTGCCTCATTATCAACCAAAAGTCAGTTACACCAAAGGACATAAGGGACAAAGGAAGAAAAGGTTTCAGGGGAAAGAATAGGACAGGGATGATGAAGAGATTTTGAAGGAGAAAGAACATGAGAAGGACCAAACTTTGTGGTTAGGAAGAGAGGCAGTTTCAGGCCAGGGTTGGGGGGTGGGGGTGGTTGGTGGCCAGGAGAGTCCATATGTTGCCTGTCTAAGAAAAATGGGCTGAAGCAGAGAGGGTTCCTATCAGGAAGTAGTAGGAGGTAAGGCTGAATAAAACATTTATTAAAAAAAAAAAGTTTATTGGCCACTGCTTGTATTAGATGCAGTGCTAAGTCTTGGGGATTCCACAGTGGGGAAGGCAGATGTAGGTTTGCCCTTCTGGAAACTATGATTCAGTGGGATAGGTGGAATGA